GAAGTGGTGCTTCTTGTGTCTCTCTCTCTACTCTCTCTTGTTTCTCATTAGTGCTCTGCCATGCGAAGGAAGAACGCCGTATGAACATTTGAGAGTTGCCAAACTTCCCTCGATAAAACATGTATTTTTGACGACATTCATGTATATTTTTCCTTGAAAGTCTCAGATATTTTAGATTAAATTGCGCATGAAATCGCCTGTAAATTTTGGGAGAAAATCCTCACAATTTTCCCTGTAAATTCTATTTTCATCGATCAAAGGAAACTTTGCAATGTCTGATGACTTATAGGGCGTTTTTCCTTAAGCACGGCAGCACCAGCACAGCTAACCACTCGCAATTCGCAACCTCTGAGTGATTTCAAGAGAAACAAGGGTAGGTACATGAGTTAAGCGGACACCCTCCCATCCCCAGATATCTCAGGTTAAGCTACAGTTTCGTTGATCGATCAATCAAGTGCTATTGGTTGATCAGACCGAAAAGAAGAAACTTCACGTATCTAAAGTAAACATTAATACGGAAATTTATAACTGTGCCAGACTCTAGTAAAGCTTCATCAACCGAAGATTAAAGGGGGAGGTTGATAGAGGTTAGAGTGAGGACGAAGAAAGAGAGAACTCCAATACTCTTATTTTTGGAATTAATTTTGTATCTTTAAGTCAGGGTTGTCTCAAATTTAGAGCCTGCTTATCATCTTCAAAGAATAATTAGAGCTAAAATGGCAGATGCGGAGATTTTGCGAATTTCGAACTTGATTAAAATCCGATTTTGCATTCAAGCTGAGGGATAAGCTCTGAAAAAAGTCTGGCCAGCGAGACATATGCTACTTTGGATTCATGATCGTAATACGTGGATGCGGACAGTCGATAGCTTGCAAACAACTTGCATCCACTCATAAAGATAATTTAATCCTCTTCAGCGAAATATTTGTATTGGCGCATATCGATTATAGTTTCACCGCGAGCGAAGTTATGGCGCATCGGTCGGCGAATAGCTGAGGTACTCGTGGACATAATTCTCGTTCTATTGTCCTTAGGATCTAAATAATCTCTCGCCGGTCAAACGAGTGAAGAATTTTAATCTAAAATAAGCTACTTACAACAATCTGATCGGTCACTTCAACTTTCAGAGACCGCAGGTTTGTCGTGCACTTGTTAGGCATAAAAATTACCAATCATCTCGATATTCGGTAAAAATATCCTTATTCTAGGCATTTTAAAGTTTGGACGGATAAGATTCCATTTGATTAAAGTTTTCATTTAAATAGCAGGTTCAGTCATGCTTAGAGAACTGACCTTTAGCAGCGGTGAAGCTAGATGTGAAAACTAAACCTGGTTAGTCAACGAGTCCCAACGTCATTCCAATCATAAATATGCTACGAAACACTGGAGACTTGAGTTTAGATTTAGGCAGGAACGTGACATCATTGTGTGCGTGGAGTTCACAAATGAGGGGTCGGGAGACAGAATGGTCAAATTAATTGCATCGCAAATTTCCTGTTTGGGGGGGGGGATATGCAAATATATCAAAATTGTTTGTGAACCCTCTCCGCAGTTTGTCAAGAATCTATTGTCTTCGCTGTTACGTTAAATTTAAGTTACGGTGCAAGAGAAACATGCAAAACGCCTTTAATTAGTGTCAAATGCAACGAGCATTGTGCAACATTTGCATTTGCATTCTGACTCCTGGATGCAACTATTCGGGCTCCATGGATGTCCGTGTTGCATACACACGGGCGTGAAGGCGTTTTGTCTGTCCACGCACTCACCACTTCACCCGCCGCGTAGCGCATAGCGCCAGCGCAACGGCAGGCTTTACTGCGAAGATCATAAATGGAAAAACACTTCAAACTCTTAGTTTTTACTGCAAAGATGTATCTCCTAGGTACAAGTAGTTGCATATAGGTGTAAAACGTAACCATATTATGTGCTTTAGTTTTGATACATCGCTATGTGCTGAGCATGATTTGTAGAGCAACTATTCATGTCTAAAAGATGTTTCTGAAGTATTAAAAAAATTGAGGGCACTCTGCCATTTTATATCTTCTTAGTAAAGCCCGCCACACACTAAAACGAGCATTCCTGATAAGTTAGACTTGACATTTTCGACTAGTTGTAAAACTACAAATTTTGATGATACCTATTTTTTCACATATAGGGGCCACGTTTAGTTTACACTAAAATGGTTGTAAATTTTCCTTTGAAGTTTTTCTTGATTTTCTTTTGCTTGGTGATTTGAAGAATTTCCCCTAAAATTTCCGGTTCATAACAGACACTCATTGATAAACAAACATCTAAATTGTTACGTGAAATTTTACAACGTTGCAAAAATATATTGTCCCTAGATCTCACCCTTTCGATGCGCCTGCAAACGTGCTTGCAAGCGCCTGGGCGAGATCAATGAGCTTGATTTATCGAAGTTCTCGAAGAGTGGAGAGCACGTTCAAAATAGATTTTTTTTTTATTTTTCAATTTTTTTTTTTAAAAAAAGAAGTTTCGAACGAAGTTTTAAAGGAGATAATGACGCACTCTATCTCTTCCTGTTGTAGAAGTTTTTTTTTTTTTTTTTAAAAAAGAAAAAACCTATCCCCTATTTTTATTAAGTGCAAGCCACGAGTTCTAGAATTGTTTTTTTTCATAAGAGAATTTCCCCCATGTTGCCATTCTGTTGATTTCGCATTACAGCAACCACTGATGCTTCAAATGCAAAGCCACGAGTACTAGAATTTTTTTTATAGGAGAATTTCCCCCATGTTGCCATTCTGTTGATTTCGCAATACAGCAACCACTGATGCTTCAAATGCAGACGTGAAAATGAATGCCAAATTTAGTATAGAACAGTCTGAGGCATCAGCGATGCGGGCCCCCTAGTTAGTGATCATCCTTTTCATCCGTTCCTTGAACTGATGATCTACGTCCGGGCACTAATGTCCTGAAATGATGTTCGTCAGTCAGATCCATCGAATTGGGGAATTTCCATTTCCTTTCCTCAATCTACGAACCTCATTTTTTATTATTCACCGTCGCGGAAGTTATAAAAAATTAGTTTCCTGGATTACCGGGCTTTCGAGAGTATGGCCATTTCATGCCTCTTAGGTACTAAAAAAAGTGCACCGCTCTCTGATTGATCAGCAGTTTTTGACCAAGGAAAACAATAAGGCAACGACCCAAATCCAACCGTGGTGAGGATATTAATTGCCAACCCTTGAAATCATATATATAAGCTCCGAGGCCTCCTAAATTTGCAGATCTGGTAACGCTTAGTTCCAGCGTTCTACCGGGCCGATTTTCTTGACTTTTGCGGCTATCGATAGGCAATTGTCTCTAAATGAGCCCGTTCTATTCAGATTTTGAAAATATGACCCAAGTTTTTTTTATATTACGCGGTGAAGTTGCGAATTCTCCCATTCAAACAATCTAAATTTTTATTTTTTTTCATAGTTCGTTTGAGCGTTCTTCTGGACTAATTATCATAATTTTTGCGGTTATCGACAGATGATAGTCCCTAGATGAGCCTGCTGTAATCAGATTTTGGAAATATGACCCAGATTTTTTATAATAGAGTATACCTGGGAGCTTAGAAAAGGGGCAACATTTGATATTCCCGCCATCTTTAATTGGCGGGAATTTAAAATTTTCCGGAAAATTGAACTAAGCGGGAAATTGTGAATCTTGGTCTGTTAGTAGGGTAAGATAGGTGAATTAAAGGTATGCTCCCTTACTACAGACTTTCCAAAAGTAACGAAACGCTCCGTTCTGTTCGTTTCGTTTCGTTTTAGTATTGACCTGAAGTTCGAAATAAATAACGGTTTTCTTATTTAATTCTTATTGGTCCAATCGCTCCCGGCCAGAGGAGGATTGTACAAATGAGAGTCGGGTATGAAGGTCTTTTCATTTTTTTTGTTGTTCTTTTGTCAAAGCGCTTTCTGGGGGTTGGGCCGCGTGGCGGCCAGGGGGCACAGACCCCTAGTAAGTTCTAAGCTTTGAAAGAAATTCTTGCTAGAATATAACTTTTTTCGGTTCTTAAAAGTGTCACGAAAGCTTAAAACTAATGCATCAATAAAGGACGGTACGGACATGGCAATACTGTACCTAAAAAAACACACTATTAACAACAGCGCCCACATAATTTCACGATTAAATAAGCGGAAAGAAAGCGCTAAAAGGCACGTGGCTCCGTAACATTATTTTGATTGAATGAAATGTTTCCTATAATAGAGTGTCGAGTGTCTGTACAGTCCACTCAAAACACGATGGCAAACAAACCCCCTTCCCATTTTCTTAATGTATCGAAGTCTTACTAAGAATGTGAAAATGCTCGTATCAGCGGGCCGATTATTGAAATTGGTAGACAAAAATATAGACAAAGAAGACAAAAGGGATATGGAGGGATCCTATTGGTGGAAGCGAGTGGTTGCAATAGACGAAGAAGGAAAGTAATAGACTAACTGACAGCAATTCTCGAGAGACCTTATAGTTAGTCCATCATTTTCTCCCTTAGTCAATAGGTACCATGCATTTCAACCAATAGGATCGCTCCATACTTCCTATGTCTTCTTTGTCTATCGCTTTGTCTATCAATTTCAATGATCAGCCCGCAGATAGGATTGGTAGGAAGGACTCGAGACAACAAAACGTAAATGTGACGAGAAATGGAATCGTTTTGCTGTGGATTTGAATTAAAAACACATCAATGCGAAGGTGAAACTCCGCAATCGGGTATTTTGGTTTGTGACGTCGCAGATTTGCTGTCTGAATTAATTTTTAAACTGGAGAGTTACTCAACGTCAATTCTCAAAAACTCTCATAATTTTTCCTCTCTGTGCGAAGCAAATTCTGAAAAAAACTCTGAGAAATGCTATTGATTTGTTCTCCTATGAAAAAGTAAAGGAGCAGAGATTTTTAAACACCGCAAACAAGAAATCTATAGCCTAAGACCTTTATCGTCGTCATGCATGACCACACAGCACAGATTAATAATAGTGATCACTTCTAATTTTCAGATATTTCTGTGAAAGTACATTGGGTTGCCATCAGAGTGTATATACCCCTTCAAGATGTGTAAACATGGAGTGTGCCTTATTCCTCGCAGCCAAATCAGGTATTTAAAATATTCTCTATTGAAAAAGTGCGTTATACTGACTGAATGGTGTTGATATGCAAACCTACCTTACAATAGGTGATAGGTCAAAATGTCCAAAAAAAGATGTCCAAAAGTCAAAATGTCCATACCCTAAATGTCCAAAAATCTAAAAAAGCCAAATATCTGTAATGTCCAGCAGACAAATAAGTCCAAAAGTCGGCAAATGTCCAAATTAATGGAAAGAGTATTTGTCCTTATGAGCAGAGTGACGTTGATATAGGAAGATGTTATGGACAAGTATACATTTTTTTTTTTTGGCTTTTCATAACAAACGGGGTAATATTAGCCATGTTTGTTATGTTTGTCAATATCACTTAAATTTTGGAAAATAAATCACTAATGCATTTTTATAAGTAAGAATTTGCCTGCTCTCGTGAAAAGTTTTATCACCATTTTTTCTTAACCTACACATCTTCATTATCCTACGCATCTGTTTCTAAGGCTGCATTCACAATCAGCTTGCCAACCTGCACCCAAAAATGCCTAATCTCACATTTGGACATTTGCCTACTTTTGGACTTATTTGTCTGCTGGACATTACTGATATTTGGCCTTTTTAGATTTTTGGGCATTCAGGGTTTGGACATTTTAACTTTTGGACATTTTTTTTTGGACATTTTGACCTATTACCTTACAATAAAAAGTATATATTAGAAATGTTGCTAAATTTTCCCTCACAATACGTATTTCTCTCAGAGGGTTAACTGATATTGTTTCTTGTAATTCCTCTGAGAAGTCTGTGTGAGAAATTACAAAGCTCAGCAAATCTCAGGGAGAAGATACTTTTCAGTTTTATCAAAAATACATAAAGCAAAGATGGTGGAACTGTGCAATGTCTCGCTACTGAGAACAGTTTTTTTCCTGGCACACAATTCATAATGCTGAAATTTATTTTTAGTGGCAGAAAACTAATCTAAACGGTCACTCGTTTTTGACTGCAAATTTCAATAGAGTACAATTACCTAACAGTGTTATATTGAAAACTCCTGGAAGGTGTTTCAAACTTTAAAGTAAAACCATTCACGACCGGAAAGAAAAAATTCGTATCGCAAAACAAACATTTGTTAAAAGTATTACGTTGTGAGGAAGTAAATTTTCATGGAAACAATTGACTTAACTAAAGTCTGTTAAAGGAGGCAAAGGCATTGACTGATTTTTTGAGTTCACATATTATATTTGAAAGAGTTACAAGTATTCACAAAGGATGGTGTTAAAAAGCTTGCGAAGTTTCATCCGAGTGTGAAAATCATATTTTCGATTATCAGCCCATAATGACTCAGGCACATTATGTAATGCTTGTACCAGACAAAAGTCGACGATTAGAATTCGCCTGAACGTGATGTGGCGATACATATGCAAAAATTAAAATAATCTCAAATTAGTTAATTTGATTAACGCTTCAACACCAATAAGTCATTTCAAGTACGGTTCATTCTTTAATGATATTCATGATGACATAATCCTATTTTCTCGGATTTTTGAATCCAGATTTATTCATAAAACGTATGATTTCTTCCTGAATCGAATTAATACATGAAATAGGCGAGTAGAAAAAAGGAGAACAAATAGGAATAAGTTTCAATCGAAACTTCAAAAGTTTCGATTGCGTCTTCAAAAGACGAGAACTTTAATTTCGCCGCAAGACTGCAAACTTTATCAAGCTACAACTCCCTCAGAAGTTGAAAAGGGTTTGGCAAGGTTTCAGCCCTGTTCATCCAAAACTTATGGAGCGAGGTGCATACGTGCGCTTTTTGAATAGATAATTATTCCCAATTTCCAGTAAGTTTGTTGCCTATGCGGCGAAATTGAAGGCGATCTGCAAATGGATAATACTTCTCAATAGATTCTCAACATTAATAGGTTCAATTAAAACTTAAAGGGCGATAAAAGAGTGTATTTTCCGAATTGATAACTATTATGCGCTCCTCAGTAGTTTTTTTTTTCTATATGCGGCGAGATTAAGATAACTTTTAGGGGGACGTTGTCTGGCGATGAGTTCACCCTGGTAAAAATTGGCAGTAGAATCTGTGTTCCAAAATACCATAGACCTACAGCCGGCTGTAAGATTTCCAATAGCTGCTATAGCCGGCTACACAATTTCTTATAGCCTTTTATAGCCGATGGCGATTAAGCAACACGTTACTAATTATGGATGCTAGGACTTAGTGAGTTTCTGGAATACTGCTCTCTTTTTGGGCCGTAGTATCTTGATTTATTTTGCGAGGAAAACTCCGTACTTTTGATGGATGCCTGCCATTACAAATATATTAGAACGCCTTCACTTCCGTATGGTACTGTGCAATACCTCTAGTGTGAAGTAGTTGCTTCAAGCGCCGTGGTACGCTGCTGCGCGGCAGGCGGGCAGCGGCAGCCAGCGCAAAACGCGCATTGGCGCCTACAAACCTAACAGGGATACTTTACGCGTTGCGCAATGCGTGAAGTATCCCTGTTAGGTTTGTAGGCGCCAGTGCGTCGCCGCTCCGCTTTGTGTTAGGCTCTAATAATTAATCTGGCGGAGTCAGCGTTATTCAACTCATGATTTTGAAATGTTTGCACATCCTGTATGGATTATTCTCATTTTAATTGATGAAAAAAAAATATGTATTAAAGGAAAATATAATGTGTGTTTTGTAAATATTAAGGTGGTTTCGTATCAAACTTAATGATTTCCAAAGCACACGAATTTCTACACAATTTCTTATAGCCTTTTATAATCGATGGCGAAAAAGCAACAGCCAGGCGATAAAGAGTAAAGCCCGGCGATAGGAACTATAGCCCGGCTGCATAATTTTTTATCGCTTCGTATAGCCCGGCCGTATGATTTTCTCCGCATTCTACAGTCAGCTATATGATTTTCTGTAGCCTTCTTTAGCCGGCTATAAGAATTCCTATGGTATTTTGAAACGCAGCTCTTATCGCCAATTTTTACCAGGGCACACATTCTAATGTCGGCTCTACCAAAGTTGAAGAAGCGGAAATAAATGTGTGTTTTTCTAATAGATCAGTATCTGCGTGCCCAGTAGATTTTTTCCTACCGAAAAAGAATGATTCTGGTGATGATAATGGGTCCAGGGGCCGAATTTTATTGGTCCTTCCACCGCAATTAAATATACTAAGGACAAGTCTCGACTGCACCTAAGTCCGGCCCAGAACTTTTGATTGGCCGGTGGTGCGGTCTGAGCTCGTCAATGCATGTTGCACTTCATGTGTAAGAGCCGGCAAAATTCGGCCCCTGCTACCGTGACGTGTATAAGGTGACATCCCAGTCAACGTTGAACTCACAATCAAAGTCTGCCAAGCGGTGGGAATCAATGGCCAGAACAAAATTCTGTGCATGTATTTGTAGCAACTGATCCATTCTAGAGCAAGCGTGACGCGTTGTTGAACTTTTAGAACTTCAAGCATAATTTTCATCGCATCAATAATTAATTTTTTTTCATTTGTTTGGCAGAGGAGACCGGATTTGTGATCAGCGACATAGAGAAACTAGGTTTGTACGCTCAAGTGGCGTGGGTCGGCCCGAATCTCGGCCAAATCGTCTCTCGAATGGTAGCGAAATACGAATCAATGAGTCCCATCGTCAAGTCTGTTGTTGTTGTTGGCTGGACTCCCAGTGACGTCATCCCGGACATCGCTCGCTTCACCCCCGTCACTTTTCCGCCTTGCAATTCGATGGATAACACCGGTATCGGATGCAAATACGAGATGCAGAGGCTCGCTAAACTAGCCTGGCCTCAGCTCCAAAAAGTAGCCGAACCGGTTTACGAGGTAAGGATCTAAGAGGAGAAAACAGCCATAATTATATAATATCTACACTAAAAAGCTTCTGCACGCGCCTCGAAATTCGAGTTGATGGCGAATTTACTAAACCACGCACCTCGGTTCGCGACGTTGGAGACTTCCTGTCTAGGTATCCAGGAGATAACTTTTCCGGGGAAATTCCCGGCTAAAACCTATTTCCTCGGAAAACTTTGACACATGAACACACGCGCGCACATATACACGACAATCACACACAAATAGCGAAGAGCCATTCGGAACGCTTCTAAGAACTTTTCATTTTCCGTAATCGACACTTTACTTTCCCGAGAAAATTTTGATCCCTACTTCCGTCACATTTTACGAGTTTGAAGGATTGACATCATCATTATTGAACAAAACTTCGAGGAATTCATACGATGGGGAAGATATGCAATGGACCACTAGACACGGTACGCATTTATGCATTCTGATATATGTTTCTTAATCAAAATTTTACGTAGAACACAATTCTTACATTGAAAATTACTGAAATTAGCTCCTAACTAAGATATTAACGTTTTAATTTTGCATTGGTTTCGGGAAATTTGCGCGAATTACCCGGTCACAAGAAACACAATACTCAACGTGAGTCAAATCGCGCACTACTACGGTTTTGGCAGGCTTCTCAAGTAAATCACTGTTCATTTCCCATCCTTTTTTGTTCAAAGTGTGGACCATTTTGCTATAGCTGAGCCAAAGCGTCAAGATTGAGGTTGTCATATTTTCGTATCGCAGAGACTGCCACATGTAATGATTAGTGTGCGATTTGACTCACATAGACCATTGAGTTTTCATGAGCGGGAGGTTTGAATTCACGACTAAGAAACATTAAATATCTTCGTTAGGAGTTAATTTCAGCAGTTTTCGTTGCTGGAGTCGAGCTCTAAGTAAAATTTTGGTTATGAAACATGTACCAGAATGCTTAACTTTGTACCTTGTCTAGTGGACCATTGGAAGAAAGCAGATGCCTACTCTTATGAATTTTTTCCCGGGTTTCAATTATGTCGTTTCAAGGGAATAATTTAGGAACAAGCTCAGGACTAGATGAAGGGACAGTGGGGGCAGGGAGGGTATTCAGTTATTTACCCACTCATCGCCGGGAGGGGGTTGCTGCCTACGTGCATATTATTTACCTGTACGGCAATCCACCAGGCAACATTTTTCAAAAAGTTTACGCACAAAGGGCGAACTATTAAAGCGTAAATTCCTCCAGGAGTAGGGATTCTTCCGTTTTTGATCGAACATATCAAAATGTCTCCCGTCCAGTTCTCGTCTAGGATTACTGAGGCGAAGATATAGATGATCTATTTATAGAGTAAAATTTATGAATATTATCGAAAAATTAGCTTGAATCTGTCCGCATTCTGAACATAATGGTAATAGGTAAGTAAAACTTGATTTTTTCATCAATTAGTATTTGGAGCGAGGTCGAACGCGCACCGTGGTTGCGTACTTCTCTAACTGCGAAGTTCTAGCTTGTCTGGGGAGCATGCATGTGCACGCATGTAAACTTTTCGAAGCAAGCTTCGGAATCTCCATTCCTTTAACTAGTTGATGCTCGAACATTGATGGCGTGTGACATGCACTTTCCTTCTCCGAAAACAAATTCAAGTTCATGATAAAAAATGTAATCGCGCTCGCAATACACCGAATGGCCGTCCATGAGTGCGTCAGGTACTTTTTTCGATCAAGTGCCTGACAGCAACCTTTAGACCCCTTTGAAAATGACGTTAGGATGAGCTACCAATCCCCTCCCACTCCTTTTGGGCGAAAATGAAAAGTAATGAAAAGAGCAGTTGAATATAGCATGACGTATTAAAACATGAATAATCTCTTCACTTTAATATCAAACAGAAAAATTATAACTACTTTTAAAAGAAAAAAATCAATTAAGAACATATTTAAAATAGTCGCAGGAAAATTTCACTCCAAGAAGTTTAGTTTTGACTGGTTCATCGTACAGAATTCAAACTTTCAGAAAAAACGACCTGAAAATGAAATGTTATTGAAAAGGAAAGTTGCCTTTTCATCAAAGGACAAACGGGGATTGTGCATAAGGGATTCTTAATCTAGGTATACAATAGATACCGTCTGTTTAGGAGATTTCAGCAGCAGCAGCTGTAGCAGCAGGACTGGCGTTTAGTGCGTGCAGGTGGCTAAACCCACAAAACGCGTACCGCAATACCTTTAAAATCTCCGATTACACTGTATTTATTTTTCTAAAGTTGTTTTCACATATGACGGACCAAATTTTAACCCCCCCAAAAAACATATTTTTTTCAAAAATTCAAACTTGGGCGGAGATTCTCCAAGTTGCGCCCACCGATACGCATTTTTGTTTACCTAAGCTATCGGTATAACCATTTACTTTGTTCAAAACTTTTACTCTCTTTGTCGTGCGGCGTGAATAAACATTATGATCCATTTTGATACAAGTACTCCGTAAATTCATACACGCGATTCATGTTGACGTCCTAACAAAAAGTATGGATAAAGCCGTCAGAATTCAAATGTCACAAGCAAATCCTGTCAACAACGGTCCAATATGCATGACAAGTGCCTATGTGTCATGTTACCCCCATACTTTTACTCGGAAATCCAGGGTTTCCGTAAAAGAATTTCAGGAATGGTTTTTTTATGCCACATTTGAGGTACCATGATTTTCAGTCGCTGATCAACGTGCGTTAAAAAACGCTTACGTATTACAGTAGTCTTGCCAAGCGACTGCACTGAGAGGGAAATAATATCTACAATTTTCACACCTTTTACGACCAGGATCATGTCTCTCTGAAAATAACCATTTGCCACCACTCCATACTTTGGGTATGTATAATTAATATTAGCATTATTAATATTAATTATACATACTAATGTACTATTTTTCTCTAATTTTTCCTCCCAAAAAATCCTTTTTTTCAAACATAGGAGTTTAAATGTCCTTAACAGTCAGAGCTTAGTTCTAAAATACACATACATACATAAAGTCGCGATTATAGCGCCGCCTCGCGCTCTGCGACGCCCAATCGCCATTGCCCCCTATCCTCCCAGAGATCATCAGGCAATTGGCACCTTCTGATCTCCTCCTCCACCCCTTGTCGCCAACCTTTCACAGGACGTCCACGCCGTCGCCTTCCGGGAGGAACCCAATCGAAGACCTGCTTGGGCAACCGATCATCTGCCATCCTTCGCACATGTCCATACCAGACCAACTGCTTGGACCTGATATCGTGCACGATGTCCTTTTCCACACCCATTATCTCGCGTACCCTTTCATTGCGGATACGCTCTCTTCTCGATATCCCAGCAGACCTTCGCCAAAAGTCCATCTCGGTTGCCCTAAGCATGTCTTCAGTTCTTTTCTTAAGTTGCCAGACCTCACTCCCGTAAGTTACGATACTCTTCACGATGACGTTGTAAATTTTCCTTTTGGTCTCCTTGGAGATACTCTGGTCCCAGAGAACCCCATTTAGCATCGCGATAGCTTTCCTGCCTTGCACATTCCGATCTTTAATGGCCCGATCCAAATTTCCGTCCTTAGTTAACCGAACTCCGAGATATTTATACTCTTCACAGTCCAGGATCTTCCGGCCATCCTCCAGTTCAATGCTTTGCTGATCACCACCGATAACCAACTTCTCCGTCTTAACCACATTTACTTCCATTCCCCACTTTCGGTATACTTCCACTAGCTTCCGCGTCATGTAATTCGCATCTTCTTCGTCCTGAGCTATTACCACCTGATCATCAGCAAAGCACAGAGTATAAAGGGTGCCATCTTCACGTAGCGGGACGCCCATTCCCGAAAAGCATCTTTTCCATTCCTTTAAAACTTCTTCCAGGTACACTTTAAATAAGGTTGGCGACAAACAACACCCTTGTTTCAGTCCTTTAGTAATTAAAAACCCCAACGATAACTCCCCATGCGATTTAACCCTAGAGAAAGCCCCACCATAAAATTCCTTAATAGCACTAATTAGTCCCCCACTAAAACCCCTTTTGTTCAAGGCTTCCCAAAGTTTCATCAATGGCACACTATCGTAAGCTTTCTGGAGATCCACAAACACTAGATGTAATTCCTGGCCAACTCCCTTCTTTTTCTCTATGACGTGGATGATGGTAAATAAGTGATCAATCGTTGACCGACCGGCTCTGAAACCTGCTTGCTCTTCCGCTTCATGTTCTTTCCACTCCTCTTCAATTTTTGCTTTCAAGATTTTTCCATACACTTTGCTCAGGGTACCTGCAACCGACAGTCCTCTATAGTTATCACACTCATCTTTTCTACCCTTCTTCTTGTATATAGGTGACACCCAAGACTCTTTCCATTCTGTCGGTACCTTTCCACCGTCCAAGCAATCTTGCATCAGGTATCTCAACCGTTGAAACAGCTTGCAGGTTCCACACTTGATCAACTCAGCAGGGATATTTCCCGGACCTGGAGCTTTATCGTTCTTCAGCTCTCGTACGGCCTTTACCACGTCCTCCATATGGATCTCCAAGTTATGATTATCGTTAGTATACTCCAAGCTTACGCCTCCATCTTGAAATTCAGGTCGCCTTTCTGTCAGTAAATTTTTAAAATACCCCTCCAGTTTATCAATGGATATCGGAGATATTAAGTCACGCTTCATGTCCCTTCGCAGCCCTTTCAGCAACTTCCAGCTCTCAGTGCTTTTCCTTCCTCCTATGTACGTGTCTATTTTGTTACAGCTCCTCTCCCAAGATTCGTTCTTTTTCTTGGTTATGAGCCTTCGTACCTGCGTCTGAGCTTTTTTATACGCCTCTTTGTCTTCTGTTTTTTTAGAGGAAAGGAACTGATGATATTTTTTCCGTTTCTCCTGAATCTCCTTCTCAATTTCTTCGTCCCACCAGTAAGGTTTTTCGCTAACTTTCCTATCATCAGCGACACCAAGAGCTTCCATTGCTGCCGAGTGAATGCAATCCTTCAGGAACTGATACTGCTGTTC